GAGCCTCGGCCTCTTCTGTGTGAGAGCAGCTCTTACCCTGGTTTCACATGCAGCTCCATCACCCCAATCTCTGCCTTCATCATCACACGGCTGCCTTCTTTCTGTGTGTCTGTCTGTCTTCACATGGTATTTTTCTCCTTATGTCTGTGTCCAATTTCCCTCTTCTTAGGACACCAGCATTGTATTAAGGCTCACCCTAATCTAGTATGACCTCATCTGAACTTGATTATGTCTGCAAAGACTCTACTTCCAAGTCAGATCACATTCTCTGGTCCTGGGGGTTAGGACCTCAATATATCTTTCTGCAGGGACACAATTCATTCCACACCAGTCCTTTAAGAATAAACATCCACAGAGCTGTGCTCTGTCCCCTCCATTCCTCTACTACCTCCCCCTCCACCTGCCTGTTCCTCATTCTCTAGCTTTCAGTCCTTAAAAAGTGGTCTGAGCCTGATGAGTGTCTCGGAGGTCTGTGGTGCCTCTTCCAGGGGAAGTGACTCCTGAGAATGTTTTTATAATAATAAATCCACTTGCTTTGGCAGATTTTTTTTTTTAGCTGATATGTGTGTTTATCTCTTGTGTATTAAAGGAGGAGGCTTTACATGATTTTAGAACAAAAATTCAAGGTACAAATTTGGAAAATCAGGGAAGGTTTGGCTTATGAGCAGATGTTCTCCATCCAGGGCAGTGGGAGGTAAAGCTGGCTCCCACGGAAGCCTGGGATGCACAGCAGGCCTGGGATTGGCGAGGAGCTGGTCATTCTGAGAGATGCTCAGTCTGGGAGAACTCACTGGGGATGGATTAAAGAAAGAGATGCAACCAGCAAATATCTCTGCACTCTCCAGCCCTGTGGCAATTATTGTGGCCTTACCCTATGGGGGGGGTCAAAGGAACGAAATGGCTAGAGTTGTTTTAGTGACTATTCAATGTTATCTTTATAATGCCTTGTGGGTATAGTGATAAGATAGTTTATCATTTTAATAATGAAAAGGATAATAATTGCTGTTAATAATTGTGCCCCAACAACAGGCATAAACTGGGGCTATGTCAGGAGAATTAAAGTGTATGATATTCTAAGCATGGGAGGACATTCCCTATGTAGATCTGAGGCTTCTCAGACCTGACCACCATTAAAACAACTAGTTTGATTACATTTTATAGATGTGGCAACTCTATTACCTATTGTGTTTCTTTGTCTTGGCTTTCAGGAAGCTCACAGCACACCTTCTGTCATCCTGCTACAATTATCAAATGTGTGTTTGTATATTTTCACCAGCTTTATCTTATTCTTCAACCCTTATTTATTTTCCTTCATCCTAATATCGTATTCTATTTGAAAAAATTATTGTATTTTATAAGCCGTTTGGATGGATAATATTTGAAAGAGTCAGTGAGTTAATAGAAGTTTGGATTGATGGAGGGGTACGTAGGTGTTTGAATGTGTGTGTGTACATGTGTGTGCATAAGTGTACATGTGTTTGGATAGAAGGGTGGGTATTTCAATCAATGAATATACAGATGAGTAGCTAAGCACTTAGATGGATGGATGTTTGGATGGGTCAATGCTTAGATGAATGGAAGGATGGGCATCTGATTGAATACTTAGATAGATGCATGCATGTTGGATGTATGTGTGAATGTTTGGCTGGATAAATGGATGGGTGGGGTGGTCAGCACACTGAATATTGAGATGGATAAATTTTAGCAGAAATAGATCAATGGAAGAATGGTTGGGTAGATATTTGAATGGGTAGGTTGAGGGTGAGTAGATGGATGGATAGTGGAAGGGTAGATGGATGCTTGGATGAATGGGTGCATGGCTGGCTGCTTGGTTATTTGGGTAGATAGATAGGCATGCACACATGTGCCTTTGTGTGTGTATATAGACAGATGCAGAACAAGTAGTAGAATAGATAGATAAATGAGTATTTGGATGATTGGATAGTACTCAGTACACAGCATAAATGTGCCAAGAGTGAAATATTGTATCATGTATAAAGCATTTTGTCAATGACTGGCATGTCATAGGCATTCTAACTTAGTAGAAAGGATGTGGGCTTCATAGACTGAAAGACTTTGTTCTGATCCTTGCCCTACCACTTACTATGTGACCCTGAGCAATTATCTAGCGTCTCTGCACTTTGGTTTGTTCAACCATAAAGTGGAGTTAAAATAACTACTCCAGAGGGTTGTTGTAAGAATTCAAGGAGCTGGTGTATGTTTCAGGAGTAGATACCTCCTTCTGAGGTACAAGAAGAGAGAAAGTTCTTTTACCCAAGCATGGAATAAAAGTCCTTTTCCTCAGTCTGATTGATCCAACCTAAGTCACCTACCAACCCTGGGACCAACAGCAATTGCTAGTGGCACATGATGTTTGGATAAAATTGATAAGACTTCACCCCCAGAGTTAGGACCAGGCCAGCTTCCCCCTGAATCACCTGCTTGAAGGAGGAAGGGAGGGATGGAACAGTTTGGGGGCTGCTGGGTCAAATCAGATGTGAGGTGATACTCATGCTGACAGATAGTGAAAATAAGTGACCAGTGGGCAGACTGTAACTGTATTAAGGGTGTAGAAAAACCACACTTTGCTAGCTGATTTGATGTTAAGGGAGCAGTGGAAGGAAAACAGTATTCACTGGGATGAGGAACCCCCAGGTAAGTACAGGCTGATGAGTTAAAGTTAGGCTTTGTTGCCTTGGAGTATCTTTGGACTACCCAGGGGAAGAGATGGTTGCATTCGTCCATCTGGGGCTCTGGAGAAACATCAGGGCTGCAAACAGAGACTGAGAAGTAATCAGTATCTCTTAGTTTTTAAAAATTGATATGCCTTTTCAGTAAACATAAAATATCACATTCTCCCTTAATTTTATTTGCAATTTATAAGTGTATTAAATATCAGAATTACAAACAGTTCAGAGCCAGGCACAGTGGCATATGCCTATAGTCCCAGCTACTAGGGAGGCTGAGGCAGGAGGATCCCTTGAGCCCAAGAGTTTGAGTCCGCCCTTGCCAACACAGTGAGGTCTTGTCTCTAAATACAAACAAATCAAAACAATTCAAATGAGCTGCAGAATTGAGAACTGATGCAGGTGCCCCTGTAGGCAGATTAGGCGAAGACTCCTATCTCTTGAGCCTTTGGAGACCCAGCCCAGGCTACTTTGTCCCTCATTGTGACTGGGTGGACACCACGAGTGGCTACACAGCCCAGACCCAGTACTCCGGGGTGTTCTCTTCTGCTGTTTTCACTAAAGTTATCCTCTTTGCTCTGCAGCATCTCTGGCAGGCAGGTGCTTAGTCACCTCCAAAGTCAGGGAGCTCACTACCTCCTGCAACAGCTTCTGCCTTGCAGACCGACACTCCTACCCATGTACATTCATAGGCCCCATGGCTTCCCCACATTGTGAGTAGCTCTGCTTTCCCAGCCAGTATGGAGAAAGCAAGGAGTTCCGTGTCCCTATGGCAGCTCCAAAGGTTGAGGGGAGGCCAGGCCTGCCTTCTCCAGGCTCTCTTCTTCTACTGGCTGGCCCCAGTCCCACTTTCATAGCTGGAACCCAGCCTTAAAAATCCCGCTTCTACGCCACAGGGGAGGAACTGCGGCTTCCTCCTCGGTAGCCTGGTGAATGCACTTCCGGTTCCACTTAGTGGTGCACTTCCGGTTCCGGTTCCCCTGTGGGGAGCACTTCCGGTCTCCTCTCTCCCCGGCGTGTCTCAGAGCCTCTGGAGGTCAGGATGGCTGTTGGTTGGGTTGAGTGAGGCCAGGGGTTCTGAGGGGTTGCTGAAGACCCTTCAGAACAGCCGGCGCCCCCAGGCTGGCAGATTTTCGCTGTGCCTGGTGCCCTCCCAAGTAGGGGGTTAGGCCGCTTGGGCTCTGAAGCCCAAGGGTTCGAATTCCATTTGTACCACTTCCTAGGTATGTGACCTTCCGCAAGGTTTTAGCTTCATTTTGCCTCGGTTTCTTCCATGCTCTTGCAAAATTGGAATAGTGAGAATGATGCCTATACCACTGAGTTAGTGTGGGGATTGAAGAGGTGTGACATGGCCTTACAAGCAGCTCTTGGGCGTGGAAGCAGCTCAGAGGAGGTTGACTAGGCATGTTCCTATCATTCTCCAGGGTCTCTCAAATCTCCCTAGAACTCCAGAACTGATAACCCTTTGACCCCTGATGGGAAATGTTGAAAAGGCCTTAAAACAGCGAAAAGGGTGACCTTTACCAGGGCTATTGGCCATTGTTTATGAGACAGAAGCCTTTGTTATAGCGAGGAAGCTGGAGCAGTTGAAATGCAGGCATCAGACACTGATGTGGAAGGAAAGTATTTGGAGGAGCTAGTGGACTTTTGTTTCATTCCAGACTTTACACTTTTTGGTGATGTTCAGTTAATTTTACTCAATACCCCCTGTTTCAAGAGAGCTAGTTTTCAGAAATTGTACACCGGATCTCCGCATGCTGGCAATGTGGAGAGGCTTTTAGTGGAGGCAGAACTAGGTGTGAATCTTGCCTGTTCACTGTGGTAGGAACTGGAAGGACATGTGATTAGCTTTTTTTTTTTTTTTTTTCAGAGTCTACCTCTGTTGCCAGGCTGGAATGCAGTGGCGTGATCTCAGCTTACTGCAACTTTCACCTCCCAGGTTCAAGCGATTCTGCCTCGGCCTCCAGAGTAACTGGGACTACAGGCGTGCGCCACCACACCCAGCTAATTTTTGTATTTTTAGTAGAGATGGGGTTTCTCTACTAAAAATGTTGGCCAGGATGGTCTTGATCTCTTAACCTCATGATCCACCCGCCTTGGCCTCCCAAAGTACTGGGATTACAGGTGTGAGCCACCGCGCCTGGCCATGATTAGCATTTTTAAAATCCTTGGGTCCCCAGCCCCCAGGGAGGATTTATGTGAATACTTGTTGAATCATCCCCTAATCAGTCATATCCCGGTGGTTTCCACAGCATTGGGAGAGGGAACCACCAGGCTCTTGTTCTGACACCTCTCATGTCCTTTCTTTTGCAGACATTGATGAGTGTGAGAATGACTACTACAATGGGGGCTGTGTCCACGAGTGCATCAACATCCCGGGGAACTACAGGTGCACCTGCTTTGATGGCTTCATGCTGGCACACGATGGACACAACTGCCTGGGTGAGTGACACAGCCACATCCTGCCCTCTGGGCACAGCCTGCCTGTTGCTTTGCTCCAGCTTGCAGAGCCGGGGCCTGTGGGAAGGCCCTCCTTCCTTGGGCTTCATGTATTAGTTTGCCAGGGTTGTCACAACAAAACATCACAGACTGAGTGGCTTAGACAACAGAGGTGTATTTTCTCACAGTCCTGGAGGCTGGAAGTCCAAGTTCGAGGTGTGGGCAGGGCTAGTTTTTCTGAGGCCCCTCTCCTCTGCCTGGCTGGCAGGTGGCTACCTTCTTTCTCCCACTGCCTTCACACAGTCTTCCCACTGTGCATGCACGCGTCTGGTGTCTCCCTGTGTCCTCATCTCGTCTTCTTTTTTTTTTTTTTTTGTCAAGATGGAGTCTTGTTCTGCTACCCAAGCATTCAATGGTACAATCTCAGCTCATTGCAACCTCCACCTCCAGGTTCAAGCAATCCTCCTACCTCACCCTCCCAAGTATCTGGGATTATGGGCGTCCACCACCACGCCCAGCTAATTTTTGTATTTTTAGTAGAGATGGGGTTTTGCCATGTTTGCCAGGCTGGTCTCGAACGCCTGACCTCAGGTGATCCACCCACCTCAGCCTCCCAAAGTACTGGGATTACAGGCATGAGCCACCTCGCCTGGCCAGCCATTGCACCCAGCCCTAATCTTCTCTTCTTATAAGGACACGGTCATAGTGGCTTAAGAGCCCACCCTAAAACTCCATTTTAACTTAATTATCTCTCTAAAGGCCCTTTCTCCAAATACAGTCATAATTTTGAGGTCCTGGGGGTTGAATTCCTTCAACAAAGAAATTTTGAAGGGATACAATTTGGCCCATAATCTTATATACCTCCATCTTCCCATGGTCCAAATACATTGTTAAGCCAATTATATAAAATTTATAAGAGACTGGGCACGGTGGCTCATGCCTTTAATCCCAGCACTTTGGGAGGCCACGGCAAGTGGGTCACCTGAGGTCAGGCGTTCAAGACAAGCCTGACCAACATGATGAAACCCCATCTCTACTAAAAATACAAAAATTAGTCAGGCATGGTGATGCATGCCTGTAATCCCAGCTACTTGGGAGGCTGAGGCAGGAGAGTCATTTGAACCTGGAAGGCAGAGGTGGCAGTGAGCCAAAATCATGCCATTGTACTCCAGACTGGGTGACAAGAATGAAGCTCCATCTCAAAAAAGTAGGTATAAAGTAGTGCACATTTGCTGAATCAAATTGGAAAAACGTAGAAGAGTAGGGAGAAAAATTGGCCGGCGTCTTAGTTGTGCTGGTGTGTTTCCTGTCAGTCTTCCATCTGCATCCAAGTGTGTTTTTACCATAGTGGTGATCAGAGAGTCCGCGGGCCTTTTTCCCTTGCATTTCCCTTTAATCTCATGCGTACCTCAGCCATTTTGGTTTTGAAACAGAGTCTCACTCTGTCACCCAGGCTGGAGTGCAGTATGGCTCACTGCAGCCTTAACCTCTGGAACTCAGGTGATCTCCCCACCTCAGCCTCCAGAATATCTGGGATCACAGGCACATGCCACTCCACCTGGCTAACTTTTGGGTTTTTGTTTTGTTTTGTTTTTTGTAGAGACAGGGTTCGGCTGTATTGCCCAGGCCAGTCTGGCACTCCCGGGCTCAGGTGATCCGCCCACCTTGGCCTCCCAAAGTGCTGGGATTACAGACGTGAGCCACTGTGTTACTTCAGACATTTTTATGTAGCCCCTGTGACCATTATTTTTCTGGTTGCCCCATAGTCTGATAAATTACTGATAACCTGTGTCCCTTTCCTGGGGCTGCCACAACAAAGTAATAAACTCGGGCTTAAACAGCAGAAATGTGTTCTCTGGGTTAGGAGTACAAACTCAAGGTGTAGGCAGGGTAGTTCCTTCTGAGAGCTGCAAGGGATCATCTGTTCGGGCCTTTCCCATGGCTTCTGGTAACGTCAGGTATTCCCTGGCTGGTAGATGTCGTTCTCCCTCTGTCTTCGCTCTACGTGTATCTGAGTCTGTATCCAAATTTTCCTTTTTTTTAAGGCCGCCAGTCACGTTACATTAGGGCCCACACTAACCGTCTCATCTTACCCTGGACACCTGCCAAGACCTGTTCCAACAAAAGTCGCATTCACCAGTGTGGGGAGTTAGGAATTCAACATCTTTTGAGGGGACATAATTCAACCTGTAACAGAGGGAATTCAAAGTCTGTCACGGGAAAACAGTGTCTTGTCATGGAAAGCGTGTGGCTCTCGAAGCAGATGTGTCCGTCCCCCAGACCCTCTTCTGCCACTGGCTGCTGGGTGACCAAGGCACAGCAGCTGGAGCCCAGGGGGTGTGGGCGTGAATGTGGCCAGAGCATGGTCCTGGATGTGTTATTGACTTGTCTGGGTCTCAGGCCTTGTTGGTAGAGGGAGGCTGTCGTGAGCAGTGACTGAGATGTGTCCAGATGGCTGAGAACAGGTTCAACACAGGAGACTTTCAACCGCTGACAGCTGTTACTAGCCGTGTGGTGTCTGAGCCTCCATCTTCTCCAGCCTGCAGCGCGGATAACTGTGCCACCCACTTCACGAGAGCATGTGTGAGGATGAGGTGACACTGTGAGGTGACGTGGCAGTGCGAAGTGAAGTGACCGGCCCCTCATAGGTGCTAAATAGCCAACAGAGGCGTTACTGCCCCAGCTGACTCCGCCGCCTCTCTGTGGTTAGACGTTTAGATGGTTTGCTTTTTTGTTGTTACCATCAGAATCCAGAGGTGGTTCTGGACACAACACTTTTTGTCCCGTTTTCCCCATTGTTTCCGTAGGAATGCTTCACAAAAGTGGAGCCACTGGGTCAAAGGATCGCTTGGTTTTTGATCGCTTTCTGCAAGAGCTCGGCAAACCTTCCATTGTGCCAGCTGGTTAGTGGGTATGCAGTAGAGGACACTGGGTGTCCTGAGTGCTCTGGAACATTCCCTCTTAGTGGAGTGTTAGCCTTAGACCTGCCTGCCTGTTTCTGTCCAGTGCACATTGGATGTCAGATGAGTTTGTTGTGGGAAACATCCGTAAACATGTAATTACACTCCGAAGAAATGCCAACATGGAGGTCTGAACAGCAGGTTGAAGCCCAGAAGGGCCTGGGAAGAGCTACCCCTGGATGCAGTGAGTGTGAGGTTGGAAGCGGGCTAACTCCCTGGCGGCCTTCAAAGAGGAGCAGCGTTGAGCGGGACCTGCAAGGTTGGGGAGAAGTTTGCTAGGCCAAGGGCAGAGCCTGCGTAGAGCTGCAGCAGCCCCTGAGGCTCAACTCCGGGTTCGTGTGAGGAGCAGGGGGCGTGGGGCGGTGGAGGCAGGCAGGGCTTTGACTAGATTGTAAAGAAGTGGGACCACACAATGTTGATCATGCCAGACGCCAGGTTAAGTATCGTCCAAGTGTTAGCTCACTTAATCCTCCCAAAATGTACGTGCTTGCCTTTCGTCGTCGTTTGCTCCATTTTCAAATGATAGAGAGAATGTTTTGGGCACTGATTAGTCACTGAAGACAGAGCTGACAGTCGCTGTGGGACAGCCAGTTAAAAGCAGGCAGCATCGCCCAGCCGTCAAGAGGAGAGCCCTTGGGAACTGCCCATCTGGGGCTTACATTCTAGCTCTCCTCTATCACCTGTGTGACCTTCGGCCAGTCACTTTACCTCTCTGTGCCTCAGTTTCCTCACTTGAAAACTAGGAAGGCATAACCCCTATCTGGTCAGACTGTCATGAGGATTAACAAGATCATGGATGTGGAACATGAAGTGGAGTATCTGGCATCAGACACTCAGCACATAACCAGAGTTCATCTGCTCACAGGCTCCCGGATGAAATGTGTTGATGTGGACTGGTTTGATGCCTCCAAGACCTCGTGGGGACCAGTACCCCCATGTGCACCCCCAGGGCTGTGCCTGACACATGGGACTCTCCTCCCAGCCACTGTACTCTTACCTGTGCAGAAACACCTGTTTGTAAATACCCTTGTTCTTGGCTACAACCAGTACTCCCAGTGCCCCCAGAGCCTGATGCCAGCAGCCTGCAGACTGACAGTGAGTCTGCGGGTGTTTGTCTCAACAACCTCGTTTTCACAATGGATTGTTTTTACACTGATTAATTTCAAAGGACTGGGTAAGCCTCCCCCTGCCCCACCACCTCTGAGCACAGATTACAACCTCACAAAGCTCTAAGTGCACGTACAGCGGCCCAAGAAAAGGCTCTCTCTGTTGCTCCTCTGCTTTCAGCTGAGGGCAAGACCCTTCCCAACAGAGTTCTTTTTGTTCAGCCTTTCTCCTTCTCAAGATGAAACTCCAGCTGTAGAGAAGTCACACCTTGGTTCCAGCAGGCTCCAACCTCATCCTGACCATGTGGCCTCAGGCTAGTGAATTGACTTCTTGGAGTCTCAGCACCCTCACGCGTGGAACACCATATGAGGGTGAGGAGGAGAGTGCCTCATACTCTAGGATCATGGGGCTTGATCTGTGTTGGCAGAAATGAGTCATGTGTAAGACTCAGCTGGGCTTGGGGTTTGAAGATTTAGACTCAAATTCTGGTGTCACCGCTCAAGAGTTTTGTAGCTCGGGACCTGTTCCTCTAGCCTGTCAAGCTTCAGTTCCCCCAACTATGAAATGGATCCGCAGTACCTGTCTCAGAGGGTCAATGTCATGGTTAAATCTGAAAGGAGGTTTCGCAGAGCTTCTGTACAGACGTGGGTTCTGGTGCAGGTGCCGGGTATTGTCATCATTTTGCAGCAGAGGCTTCAAGCTGGCAACCCACAGTCCTCATCTGGCCCACAGACATGTTTGGTTTGTGCCCATGGTGGCACCGTTTGTTCTTATTAAACTGTTTGTCAACACTTAAAAATTAGGGGATATCACATAAAAATCAGTATCGCTAGTGTCACTCCTCAGCCACGGTCACCCGGGTCCTGACATTTGCAGAACTTGTGACAGGAATCCAGATGGAGGCCCCTATCCCACATGGCTAAATATTTTACAGTG